ATTTTACCTTTGTGTGAGGGAAGGGAGTTGGAGAATAGTGTTCCGTTGAGTTTGTTACCTTCTTACCATATAGCTAAAGAAACAAACAAACCCACAGGTGCACGTTTGCAGTGAGGGCAGTAGGATGGGAGAGGCAGCTATCTGGTTTCCAATGGCATTGAAAAACAATATTCTTGAGACAAAAATGAACGGATCCTGAAGCTTTGGGGCCACCCCTGCACTGCCCAGACAGCGAGGAGCTGTGCTGTCCAGCTCAGCTGCTTCCCAGCTGCAATCTGATGCTCTCAGGGCTATCAGAAGCTCCGTGCAGGCTCACAGGAGCCATTCTTCAGCGCTTTTTATGGAGATAGATAGGCTGCAATTAACGGGCCGTGGAAGCAACCCGCTCAGATGAAATACCACGTGCTGGAAAGGCTTCATTTTAACCATTGACTCAAGGAGCAATCCAAGGCTGGGAGGTGCCGAGCTCGGTGGCTTTGTGCAGATGAAGATAACTTCTGTCTCCTGGGGAAACCTTGTCTGTGGTGGGAGCAGAGCACGGGCAGCAAGGTTCTGGTGCTGCTGGACGTGTGTGGGGCTGTGGGGTGGGCTGGGAGGCTGGCTGTGCCAAAGGCACCCGCAGCGTGTTTTGAATGCGACACTGGGTCTGACTGCTGCCACGTTGGGTTGAGAAAAAGGAGGAAGGTGAGGGGCAGAGGGATGCTTCCAGTTTCTCACTGAGCAGCGGGTCTGAATATTCCAGCTGTGACGTCGGGATAGATATTACAGCAACGCACTGTGATTTATGTCCTCCTCACGGTTACAGATAAGATCTAAATGGCCTCGTTACGGCACCGTTTAGCTACTAGAGCCAGGATTTAAGTTGTGTTAATTCCAGCTGTTGGGCCAAAAACTCAAGAAGTGCTCGCACAGTGTAAATATTTAATAGGCAATTGCCATTGAGAAGATTAACAGCTCTCCAGCAACTCTTTGGATGGGCGGAGCTGGGTTGCAGCTCTCTGGTTTCCATCAAGGCAATGAATTTTAGCACTCATCTCCCTGGAAAGCTGATCTGAGGTGTGCTCCATAGAACCAGCTTGGCTCTGTGCACATTGCTCATACGGCGACCCCCTGTCACAGCCTTGCTTTTGGTTGACTGTGGGGCATCCTGGATGAAGACAAGACAGCTGAATTTGTCTCTTTTCCTGTACACACTTATGCCAAAAGCTGTGCTGAGAGAATAGAAAGCAGCTGCAGCAGGAATTATTCTGATTCTTTATGCTCTGATTCCTAGGAAGATGACGAGAAGATAATTCAGGAGATTCAGAAGGAGGCCGAAGAGGAGCAGAGGAAGAAAAACGGAGGTAAGTTTCTGTGCTTTGAGGTCAGATCAAGAATGACTGCAGAGCGTAGAGCTCCCAGCTCTGGGTTTGCTGCCTTCTTTCCATGCTGCCCTCGTGCTGTTCCTGCTGGGAACCTGCCTAGCTTTGAAGCGGCGTTGGCTGCAGCTGTTGGTGGGACAGTGGGGAGGAAAGGGAACAGAGGCACCAAGGGGCAGCCCCACACATCTGCAAGCAGACCGTGCTTGTGCTGCGCTGCTGATGGAAGGAGCCAACCTTCCAACCTCGTGCCTGTGCTCCAAGCAGGGAGTGGGAGCAAGGAGGTTCTGGGAGGAGAAGGGGCAGGGGTGCTTAAGGAGCGTGCTGGGGATGGTGGGGGATCCAAGCTTGGTGAGCGGCATGACTGGTTCCTCCCCTTCCTCCCTCTGCAGAGAACAGCTTCAAGCGGATCGGCCCTCCGGTGGAAAAGCCCATGGAGAAAATGCAGAGAATTGAAGTCATCCCCAGACCCGTTCCTCAGAACCTCCATCAGCCACGGATGCCTCCTTACCCCTTCGTTCACCCTCCCTTCCCGCTGCCCCCCGTCCGTCCCATCTACAATAACATCCCCCTCAACATCGGCCCCATCCCCGCCCCCTACGTGCCCCCGCTGCCTAACATGAGGGTGAACTATGATTTTCCCCAGATCAACGTTCAGCTGGAGCACAACTTGCCTATGCACTTCGGCCCTCAGCCTCGGCACCGCTTCTGACGCCGTTCGGATGGCGTCGGTCCCTGCAGGACGAAGCCCCTGGTAGCATCACCCCGTCCTGCTGCAGCCCCCACTCAGCCAGCTGCAGGGGAGCTGCTGTGCCTGGCACACGCCTGCACTACACCCTTATCTATAGCTTCTCCGGACCTTTACAATCAAACATTTCAACCTGTGCTGCAACAGGGCTTGGTGCTGCATTTCCAAGGTCTCTTCCTATGTTGGGAGTCCTTTTTTTTTTTTTTAAATTTTTATTTGGCAAAGACTATTCAGACAGCTGCTGAGAGGGAAAATGAGACTTGTGGAGCACAGGGGATGCAAAAGATCCTTGGGAGTCTTCCAAAACTCCAACCTTCCTGCTGGCCAGAGCAGCTGCAACAGCCTGAGTCCTGTGGGAAGGGAGGAGGGACTTGGCACCTGAGTAAAACCTTCAGGAACAAGGTAATGGGACTCGGCTGCCCTAAGCCCAAGGTTTGGGGTTCCCATGTTCTCCAGCATCCCTGTAACCTGCTAACACCTCCCAGCAGAAATAAATTGTTCCAAACCCAGTTAATGTAGTGTATTTAGCATTTCTCGCTCTGCACGGAGTGAGGGGATGCAGCAGCCACCTCATGGCTCAGTTCTTGTTCAGCAGCCCAGAGCCACATCCCATCTCAGGGCTCCAGGAAGCAGAAAGCTCGGCCATCTCGATCCTTGAGAGCAGTTTGCCCCTTCTACAGGCTCAGGTGCTCATTCCCAGCAGGAAGCTGCCCTCCAGCTTCCAGCACATGGCCTTTCTTTTGCTGTTCTCATGCGGGCCTCCCAAATCCCCACCAGCAGTCAGGGGTAGGTAAAGGACAGCTGTGTGTGCCGGGTGCTGTGGTGTCAGTGTTGGTAACCACCAGCATGTTCTGCACTCAGGGGCTGTGCTTTGTGTCTGGGGCAGCCTCCCCAAAAGCAGCAAAGCGTTTGGAGGGGCAAAGCCAGCAGGAGCTCGGGGCTGGCTCTTACCCACCCCCTGTGCAGTGGATCCCAGGTTGTTTGGGCTGTGCTGCATCCTGCTTTCCCCCATATTCCAGCATCCAGGTGTCCTTGGGCTGTGTTTGTTTTTCAGGTAGCACTTCCTTGCCTTTCAGAGTCCATTCTCTGCTCTCAGACATTTCCTGTGGGTTGGATGCATCCTACCAAGCGTTCCCACCCCTCAGTGCCGTGGTCTCTAGCATTAATAACCCAGTGGCATTCACTTGCTGCTATTACTTATTATTTTTTCTTTTTAATGCTGTTTTTTTTTTAAATTATTATTTTTCCTCTTTAGTCTGTATCTGAAGACAGCCCCGGGGCCAATGTGCTTGAGTTGCTGAGATCTGCCCACCTCTCTGACAGGTGGGTGACGGTTGCTCAGGGCCTGTCCTGGGGATGGAGGTGGCACTCAGTGCTGTGCTGCAGCTCTCATCTGGCTGCATTTGCTCTGCCTTGGTGCAGCACTGCAGGATCTCTCGCAGGCACAGCTGCACCCTTTGCTGCTCTCCTGCAGCAGCCGTGTGCTCGGCACAGGCAGTGCTGTGATAGCAGAAGTCGGGCTCCCGTTCCCTCTTTTGATGCTTTGCAAAGATGCACGGCCGTATTGGGATCTCAGCATGGGCAGGGAGAAGTTTGGGGATGGAGAAAAAGGGACAGAAGTGGTGAGGTGGGATTGGAGATGGCATGGGGTGGGTGGCGCTGGGGGTCTGTCCCCATGTCTGTGGGTCAGCGCCAGCACCTCCCTGGGGACGGGGCTCATCCTGCTGCCCCACAGCCACGTCACACTGCAGAAGAGGCCTGGAGGATTCAAGAGAGGGGCAGGGATAGGGCTGTTCTCCCTCACAACCATGGTGCTGTGTGCCTGGGCTGCTCCTTCCCTCTGGCCTGGGAGATGCCCAGCAGTGGTTTCTGGTCATGTTTGAGTCCGTTGCTGGTTTGGGTCGTTCTGTTACAAAAGCAAAGCTCTGCACAGCCAGCAGAGCCACTGGCTGTGTCCCCTCGTGTCCTGGAGGAGCCGTGGCTGCATCCTCTACCAGGTACTCATTACGGTTAATTGCGGTGTCCCGTTTAACTTGCCTTAAAGGTGGGGAGAGAAACTTAGTATTTGCACTTAGCAAAGACGTCCTATTAAAAGAAAGAAACCCTGTAAAGATGTGCATGTTCTGCAACTTTGTATAACGATAGCCGAAAGCAAATAGGTTGGTTTATTGAAATAAAAGAAATAAATATTTTTCTTTACCTTCCGGTAGTAAAACCGTTCTCCTATTCCGTGTGTACAGAGTTTCCCTGTATCATATTGTAATTTTTGAATTCTTTTTTCTTTTTCGGTGTCGTTTTTGTAAATAAATCTGTGCACTCTGGCTTCCAGCTCCAGGCTGTGCTTATGGGACGGGGGCAGCAGACGCGTCCTCCCCCAGGAGGGAGAAATGGAATAGAAAATGGTTTCCAGTCGCTCCTGTAAATGGAAACCAGGAGGTGTGAGCGCGGCTCGGTGGGGCGCGGGGCCGAAGGCGACCAGTGCTGACGTTTCCTGCACAGCTTTAATTTTTGCTTTGTTTATGGCAGCGGAATCGCATCCTTCCTCCGCTCGGCCCTTGTTTGCAGGATGGGGTCCCACCCCCGCTCTGTGATGTGCTGCGCACACAGATCTGCTTTTTTTTCCCCCCCTTTTTTTATCTCCCCATCAGCCAGGAGGAGCAGCTCTGACCCACGCTGCCTCTGGACTGCTGGGCATCACAGAACGAGCCCCAGCCTCCATCCAGCGATGGCTTTGAGGTGGGAGGAAGGAGCCAATGGGTTCCGTTCTCCCCCCAGAGCCCTGGGCTGCGCTGCCTGACCCCAAACCCACAGCTGCAGCTGCCAGGCTGTGCCCCATGGATGCCAACGGGGCGAGGAGCCCCTGAGCCCCAACAGACCACGCGTCGCCACTCGTATCCGAATGCAGGTCTTGGTTTTTTTTTTTATTATTCATCTTTCTCCAGTTTGAAGCTATTTCTGTCGTTGTTTAAGTTATACAAATGGCACTTACAAAAAAAAAATAATAATAATAATTAGGAAAAAAAAAAAAAAAAAAAGGTACTAAAACCAACACCCCGAAACGAACAAAACCCCCCCAGACTTAAATTTCAGAGTGAGATGCTTACGGAGGGTCACAACACCCGAGGAGAGGAGACAGGAGGTGAGGAGCTAAAGTCACACAGAGCCGGAGCGGGGCGGGGGGACACGAAGGAGACACGGCGGGTGCGAAGGCAGCAGTGTGCGCCAGGGCACGGGGCCACTGGGGCTCCATCAGGACACTTCTTCCTTGGGAGGCAGCGGGTGCTGGGGACGGGGCGGTGGGAGCGTAGCACCGAGCCCTGCTGGAGGGATGGCAGAGCTTTAAGGCTGCAGAGCCCCGGCTTATGGCACGGCGGTGGCAGCGCCTGCAGCCTCAGGTTGGGGCTGGGGGGTGAAAGGCGCTGCGGTGTCCGCAGGGAGGCCGAAGGATGAAGCACCCCAACGCCACGAGGATCGGCCGGGCATCACCAGCATCGTTGCACCGAGTGCAGAACACAGTGCTGCCCACAGCATACATAAATAGAGGCTCACAAAAATACTGTTTTGGTCATTATTTGTTTTCTGTTTCCAGTCAGGAGGTGGCACGCGGCCGCAGCTCAGGAGGAGCCCACAGGAGCCCCCCCAGCCCAGCACTGGGCGCTCAGTGATTGGCATCACCGTTCCAGTATTCAATGAGGAAAGAAAAAATAAACCAAACTAACAAAATCCCAAAAAAAAAACCAACAACAAAAAAAGTACTGAGCAAATCTCACTGTGCAAAGTTTGCGAAGGAATTTGTCCGCTCTGCAAACCCACGGCTGCAGGTTTGCTGCCAGCTGGTGCCCACGCCCAGCAATGGGGGAGGAAGGGGGGCTGCGTGCCCCCACCCTGTCCTCCTGTCACCAATGTGGGGCACAGACCTGCTGCTGGGGACAGGAACAGGGGCACAGCCCCACGGGGACCTCGGGGCACAGAGTGAGGGTATGGCAGAGGGGAGCTCAGAGGCGACCCTATTCCTTCTTTTTTTGTTTCTTTTGGGGGGGAAAGGGAAAATAGAAGGGGCTGAGGTGATGCTCGGGGCCAGGGTGGGCACGGCAGCCCCCGAGCAGAGATGGAGGGGAAAAAAACCCCTTTGGAATGATAGGTTGCACCGCACCGCTGGGCGACTGATCCAGTTTCTAATGAGATGAAGGGAGACCACCTCCAACACCACGCACTGGGCTCTAAGGGGAGGGCAAGCCAGGCTGGAAATCCTTGTACAGAGAGGAGAAATTAAACCAAAAAAAAACAAAAAACAAAAGAAAAAAAAAAACCAAACACGGACAGGGGAAAGAGAGGTTGGCAATGGGAGGCTCGCTAAAGTGCATCAATATTCCCAGAGGGTGGAGGCGTCGATGGTGTCGGCGGATGCCTTGAGGACCCCGGCGTGGTCACCCTTCAGGTATTTGCCATTGATTTTGATGGCCACTTTGTTATAGTCGCAGAACTCAAAAAAGAAGTCCACGGGCGTATCGCTGCTGCTGGTGACGGACGACTCGCTGCCCACCATCCAGTACTTCCCAGTGGTATCTGTGGGCACAGGGCACCCGTGAGCCGCCACGAGGGCCCAGGTGGGACATCCGACCCCTCAAACCCCCCCAAAGCAGGTCACGCGTCACCCCAAGGCGCAGGCTCACCCTTGATGTTGTAGGCTCCGTCGTTGAACTCCAACTGGAAGACGTCATAGGAGGAGCGGTTGGAGTCCAGGGTGCCGGTCACCTTCCGGCAGCCGATGAAGCCGTGCTCGCCGCGCAGCACGATGATGGGTCTGTTGATCAGCTTCATCACAAAGTGCTCCGTCTCACCTGCACCAAGGGACGGCGGCCGTGAGCATGGGGACCCCGTTTGGCACCCACCTGTCCCCAGGGCGCCTCACAGCCCCGGATCCCTTACCTGCCGTCTCCATGGAGGCTGCCAGCTGCCCGTTCTTCTTCGCTGTCACGTATTTGCCGTTGGCAGCCCGCAGGGTGATGCGCTTGTCGCACCACTCGATGTCGAAGTAGCAGCTGGCGTTCCTATGGGCAGAGCGCGGCTCTGTGACCCCCAGGGGCTGGGGACAGCCCAGGTTGGCTGGGATTTTGGTGGATGAAGGAAGCCATAAGGGTAAAGACCCCCACCCCAAGGACCACAGGTAATAACAGCAATAAGAGACTCGAAGGCCTTCAGTTGCACCAGGGGAGGCTCAGGTGGGGTATTAGGCAAGGTTTGTTCTCCCAGAGAGCAGTCGGGAGCTGGCGCTGCATGCCTGACACCTCCAGGGACATGGAGACGAATGGTGTCATGGTGGGGGTGGGTTGGGGTTGGACTTGATGATCTTGGAGCCCTTTTCCAACCCGACTGATTTTATGTTTTTGGCAGCGCCTGTCTTCCCCAGGGAGCTGGGAATTCTCATTTTGGGCTGAGCGCCTGGGTTCCTCCCTGCTGCCCGAATCTCTGCACCCATGGAGAAGGCAAAGGGGTCCCAAAGCAGCAAGGGGGATGAGGTGAGGACTCACTTCGTGGAGGCGGTGGACTGGATGCCCCCGTTGGAGGTGAGGGTCCAGTACTTGCCCGTGTAGGTGCGGAAGGCGCATTTCTTGGTGTCCTTGTTGATCTCCAGCTGGTAGGTCTCCTGGTCGCCCTCCTCGTCCTGGTTGGCCGACAGGTCCATCCCTGCAGCCACACGCACACAGGTTGGTCTCCTTCTGGCATTTGGGTCCAACCCCAACTTTCCATTCAGATGCTCAAGCACTGGGCCAGCCCCCAGCTCAGGGCTCCATCACCCATCCAATGGAGACAAACCTGGCTATCTCACAATGCAAATGGGCCGTGGTTTTTTTTTTGTGGGAGGCGACAGCAGGGTGACTCAATCCATTAACGCAGTGCCACCCATGAATCCCCATCTCAGGGCTGTGTTTAAGGACAATTTTTTCCACCAAATCCTTCAGACTGGGGCAGGAGATGGAACAGCTGCTCTGCGTATCTGCCGCAGGACGGGCCTTGTGCTTTGCAGACACTGCGTGCAGGAGCTGCCTGTTGGAAGGGAACATTTGCTTTCTGTGCTGGGAAAGCAGCGCCAAACCCACTGCCTTTGTTCTGCACCGAGAGCAAAACCTCGCTGCCCCCCCCAGCCCACAGCAGGACGCTGGGACAGCGCCACCCCCCTGCACAACCCTCTGCTTTGCACACCTCCGTGCTCCATCCGTGCCGTGCGTTTTGCTGGCTCCTGGGCCTGCAGACGCAGTGCACAGCCTGGAGCTGCTTTGCACTGCAAGGGAGGAGCAGGAGGTGCCCCCGAGCTCCCACCTGGGCTGGGTTTGGGGAAGGTTTTTGCTTTATCCGCTGCCAGGCGGGGGAGCAGCCGCAGGGCCAGCAGAGAAGCTTTGGGGGGGGGGTGTCTCCCACCACCCCCAGCCCAACCGTGGGGTTGGGTTACTGCGCGTCAGAGGAAAGGAATGCAATTAGGGCTGCAGGGAGGGAGGCTTCAAAGGGCTGAGAGGGAGCAGGAGGGCTGGGGTCGGGGCTGCAGGGGTTGGAGGCCACCCGGCCGTGTCCCTCTGTTTCCCCCCCCCCACCCCAGCCACGTGTCCCCATTTGCTGCCCCCAGCAGAACTGCTCTGCTCCCTGCTGCGGGCGTCCTTTAATTACTGCTGTTGGTAAATGCAGAGTCTGGAGCCAGCACGACGCTCCCTGACCTTGACGAAGCTGCTAATTACAGCTGGAGGCAAAGAGGGGGGCGGGCCCCGAAAAATTCCCTGCGTGGGCACCCGATGGCTGGGGAGGAACCCGAGGGGTGGCTGCAGGGCCCCTGCATGTATGACCATGGATGGAGCCTGGCTGGAGGCAAAGGCAGAGCGTGTTCTGTTAAGTCCCCAGCAAAGGCAGCTGGGAAGGGCCTGGATGGTTCCAGCACCTCAGGACTGATGCCCAAGCCCTCACCCAACCACCTTCCTGGCATCTCCCAAAGCAACCCAAATCCCAGTGCTGCCCCATGGGAAGAACAGCACAGCATGGCACCCCACGCTGCAAGGAAGGGCAGCACACACAGGGTTCTCCCTTCTGGATGAAGCTACATTTGCTTAGAGGATGCCCTGGGATGCTGGTGGGGTGACTCAGATCCCCCTGCAGAGCCCTGCGCGTCCCCTCCCCATCCTTCCAGCAGAAATAAACTGCACCAGCAAACAAATCCCAAAACCCAACCAATGTTCATCCAGGAGAAAGCAGCACTGGGGGGGGATACAGCCCTGTGAGGGGTGATGGGAAAGCAGCCAGGGAAACGTTCCATCCCCTCCCCAACCCTATGCACACCTCTGGGGTGGGGGAGGGGAGCAGGGCAGGAGGATGGCAGAGCTCTGCCCTCGGGGACCCTCCATCCCACAAAGGGCTCTTTGTTGCCGCAGCCACCAGCAGCCATTCAGCAGGGAAGGAAGCCGCGCGCTGCTCCGCTGCTTTTATGAATGCAGTGTGGAGCTCAGCACCACTCTGGGCTCGGCCAGGGGTTCTGCATCAATCCGGGCACAGGGAGAGACCCCCAGCAGCCCCCGGCCCCAGCGCCGAGCAGGACCCCATAAGGGATGGCTGCAGCTCCGTGGCCGGGCACGCTGAGCCCCACTCTGTCACAGATCCCTCCCTGCAGTATTTTTCTCAGCACTTTCCCCTCGCGCTGCAGGGACACCCCCCCCCCCTCCTCCCGTTGCTGGGGAGATCTGCACCCCCCTTCTCCTCCCCGCCCCCATCGCCCAGCACAAAGCCATGGGGCCGGGTTGCTCCCCCCCCTCCCTGCATCCCAGCGCGGGGCCCCCAGCCCACACCTCGCCCCACATCTGGTTTTCCCATCTCCGTGACAAAGGGCTGCAGCGGCCCTTCCCCCTGCGCTGCGGCAGCGCCCGCCTGCCTCCATCATCTCCCCCGTCCTCCATCCATCCATCCATCCAGCTCAGCCCCTCACCGCCGCCATCCTCAACCTCCTCCATCCATCCTCCTCCTCCTGCTCAGCCTTCCACCATCCTCCTCTCCTTCCACCCTCCTCTTCCTCCGGCCACCGCCATCCTCCTCCTGCTTCCATCCCCCCTCCTTCCTCCAACCTCCTCCAGCTCAGCCTCCCATCACCGCCATCCTCCCTCCATCCTCCCCATCCTCCCCCTTCCCATCCTGCCTCCATCCTCCCCCCGTCCTTCACCTCCTTCCTCTATACCCCCTCCCCCCTCAACCTCCCGCCATTTCCACCCCCCATCCCCCATCCTCTATCCCCCAATCCCGGGATCGGTCTCCCCGCAGCCAAACCCCTTTATCTCAGGGGCTGCTCTGCACTCAGCATTCGCTCTCCCGCAGCAAAGCGCCGAGCTCCCCGCGTGCAGACAAGGGTTAAGCTGCAAGCTCGAAATATTACATAATTAAGGATATATATAAGAAAATTCCCGCTCTGTTCAGGCGCAGGCTGTGCAGCAGCAGCGTGCCCGCACCCATCCCAGCCCGCTGCGCCCCGCGGCTCCCGGCGCTGTCCCCCCCACCCCCCAACTCCTTGCTTGTGGCTCAGTGCCCGGGGAGCGGTGCTGCCACGCGGCCGTGGGGCGCTGAGCACATGGCGGTGGCCTCGAGGGGACGGAGGTGACAGCGGTGGCACCGCGCCTTTGTGCGGGGGTTCCTACGCGGCGCTCACAGCGCAGCGCGGACGCTCGGGCAGAGCCTTTCCTTTCCCCGTGTAACGACGCCAGCGCTAGGGATGGGGATGGCACTGCGGCCCGCATTTATGGGGGAGCTCAGCCCCCCGCAGCTCTACGGGACGAACGATGCTCGGGGGGGGGGGGGGGGGAGGGCGAGCGGCGGCTTGGGAGAGGCTTTGTTAGTGAATGAACAATGAGCGGCTCTGCCTCCGCCACGGCGATGGGAGACTCCACAGAGACCCCCCCCATATCCTCAGGAGCGCCCTCCCCGCGCCTCTCGCCTCGTCTGGGGTGCTCTGCTGTAAGGATGGGGGCCGCGAAATGCGGGGGGTGGGGGCGGGGGTGAAAACCAGAGAGCCATACTGGAAGTGAACAGGGAAAAGGGGGAGTCATGGAGAGACGGGGGCTTCGGAGGGAGCAGAGATCCAAAGGAGGTGTCTGTGGAGAGAAGCGGGGATCCTGCGGGAGAGGAGCGGGGGAGGCCGCCGTGCCGCGGGGATGCGGGGGGGCACCGGGAGCAGCGATGTCCGCGGGGCGGCGATGCCCGACGGATGCGAGCGCAGCCGAGAGCACCGCGAGGCAGCGACGCTCCTCGTCCCCGGGTCACCCGCGCGTGTCCCGCTCCCCCCACGGCCCTCACCTTGCCGGGTGGACACGTTCCGGTCGTTCCCAGCGCGCAGCACGACCTGCGGGCAGCTCTGCTCCAGCGCGAACAGCTCATCCTTCCCCACCTTACTGCTCTTCCCCGCCTTCAGCGTCCCGCTGGGCCCCGACGGCGCCAGGTAGCGGCCCTCCCCGTCGCGGAACGCCACTTTCCCGCAGCGGAACTCCAGCGTGAAGGCGGTGCCGGGCTCGGCGGAGGGCACCAGGCGGCCGTCGGCCCGCAGCAGGCGGTGGTCGCAGCTCTGCAGGCTGTAGCGCTGCTCCACGAAGAGCAGCGTGATGAGCGCGTCCACTCCCCACGGCACGTCGCGGTCCACGGCCAGCTCGTCGCGGCGCGGCCCCAGGTGCGCGTAGCGCTTGCGGGCCAGGCTGTAGAGGTTGGCCTGCGGGTGCATGGCCAGGTGCACGCTCCACTTCTCGGCGGGGGACACGGACGGGGCGAAGCACGACAGGCGGTCCTCGGTGCCGCCGAAGAAGCGGCGGTGCGGTTCGGACTGCAGCGACCACCGCCCGTCGCCGTGGGCCACCACCAGGAAGCGGCAGTCGGGGCCCGGCTCCTCGCTGTCGCAGCTCACGCGGCCGTCTTTGTCGGCTGCCAGGTAGCGGCCCAGGTGGCTCTTGAGCAGCACCGCGCTGGAATCCTCCCCGTCCTGCTCCAGCGTCCAGATCTGCTTCTTCTTCATGCTGGCGGCCGACGCGTTCACCTTGAAGCCGAACGCCTCCGCCGTCAGGTACTTGTTGCCGCAGTTGATCAGTCCGAACTGGATCTGCACCGGCTCCGCCGTTCCGTTCGCCGTCATCGTGGCACTTCGGCTCCGCTCCGCGCTGCCGCCGCCGCCGCGCCCGCCCCCTCCGCCGCCTTTATAGCACCGCGCGGCGCCGCCCCCCGCGACCCCTCCCCGCCCCGCGCGGTCCCCGGCGCCGCCGGAGCCCCCCCGCGGTACCCCGTCGCGATACCCGTCGCCGCGATAGCCCCGCACCGCGATACAGCGCCCGCAGTGCCCCCGTCGCGACGCCCCCCGACTGCGACGGCCTTTTGCTGCGTTACCCCCTTCCTCGCAGCGGCCCCCCCACTGTTAGAGCAGGAGCCCGCTCAGATCGCAGTACACCCCCACGCTGGCGGACTCCCCCCTGCACGGCAATGCCCACCCTGCGTGGCAAGGATTCCTCGGCACTGCATCCCCTCCCCGTGCATTTTAAGGTTGCCCTCTCTTGCAGTGCGTGACCCTCTGCTCATCTCCAGACTCATTTCTATGCTGCAAGGACCCCTCAGCATCACAAGGATCCCTCGGCATCGTATGGCCACAGTACTTTCAAGGCCCCCCGTCCTGCAGTGTGTGACCCCCTTTTTGCAAAGCAAGGCCCTCTGCATTGCAAGGACCCCCTGGCATTGTGAGACCCTCCTTGCAAAGCAAGGCTCTCCTTGAATTGTGGGACCAGCCCACAACATATTGCAAGCTCCACTCTATTAACACAGAACCCTGCAGTGCAAGACTCCCTGTTGAATTGCAAGCCCCCCTCCCCTTGCAGGACTCCTGCTACATTGCAAGCCCCCCTTCCACATCTCTGCACCCCCCAGCCATGCCACAGGGCTGAAGCAGAGAAGTGTGAACCCTGAACACCCAGAGCCACCCCAAGGCCCCATGCCAGGCACCACTGGAGTGGGGGGACCCAAATCAACCCCCTCCACAGTCAACCACATGCTAGCTGGTCCCCAGATCCTCAGCATCCATGCTGAAGCAAAGCATGGGGGTATTGCAGGGCGAGTGGGGCAGCACCGGTGATGGAAAACCAAAGGGTGGATCAGGGAGCTGAGCTGCCTGAAGGGGAACAGAGGATGGGCTGCAGGGGGGCACACCCCAGCCACCTCCCAACCTCCTCAGCCCACACTGGTTCTGCACTGGGAGCACTGGTTCTGCCCCAGGAGCATTGCTTCCAGCTGCCCCCCCCGGCTGCACCCATGGGTTGTGTGGGCAGGCCCAGATGGGTTTGCTTGGCTTTGCCCTGCTCTGCTCCTGCAAGTCCATCTCGCTCCCAGCCCTGAGGGTGGTTGGAAGCAAACCCCACTGCTGGGATCTGTGAGCATTTCTGCTCCTCTCCCTGGGAGCAGCAGGGCAATAGGACCCGGCCACGGGGTTGTGCAGCTGTGGGATCTCCTCCTGCTACTGCAGAGGGCAGATGGTGAGGATGGGAAAGAAATGGCTTTTCTGCTCACCAAAAGAAAAAAAAAGAAAAAAAAAAGCAATTATGCACGGGGGAAAAAAAAAAGAGTTTTCTCCCCAGCAGCAGGGAGGGTGGCAGTGCCTGGCCGAGCGCGCAGCGAGATGTCCCCACATGTCACCGCTGTGCCCCCAGCACTGGGGGTGAAGCAATGCGTGGGGCAATGGCTGCTTCACTGCTGGGAGCTGCAGAGCCCTTTGCATTCCCCCCAGCCCCAAAACCTGACCCAGAGCTGAGCAGCGGGGTTAGAGGGTGAGGAGCATCGCTGGGTGATAGTACATGGGGGTACCTCACTCCTGTGTCCCACTGAGATAAAGGGGTGCTCCCACAGTCTCCCCAGGCTCAGAAACTGTGTCCTCTGGCAGTGCCTACACTACTGGGAGGGTACAGTGATGGGGACACCCATCCTGCTGCCATATGCCCCCAGCAGAGGCTCTCCCGACAGTTGGCAGGCGCCTGGCCTCATTAAACTTGTATTAGGCAGAATCAAAACAAAACAAAATAGAAAAAAAGCAGTGGCAATAGGAAAACAAAGGGCTGCCCCAGAGCGGGGGGTCCTGGAGCAGGGGGTGGCACTGTGCTGTGGGGGGTCCCCTGGGGATGCAGCCCCATCGGGATCGCTCAGCCCCACGAGGTATTAAAGGGGCAGTGGGGGTTCAGGCAGTGCCCCCTCCCAGCTGTGATGCAACTGGGGCTCTGCTCACACTTTATTAATTGGGTTTATTCCATTATCCTAATGGAATTGCATCCAGCAAGGGAAATGCTGGGAGCATTGGGGCCAATGCAGTTTGGTGGGGAGAGGCACGCCTGGAATGAGGGAAGAAAGATGGGGCAGTGCTGCATGGCTGCACCCCTTGCTCCTGAAGATCCCAGGTGGGTTGGAGCTGTGCATCCCCTGGGGTAGGGTTGGGTCCCCCCAGTCCCATGGGAGGACACATTCTGTGGGGGACACAAGGGCAGGAAAGAGCTCCATTTCTGCTGCCAGGTGGCCAGGGAAGGGTTTCACACAGCTCCCATCACTCTGTGCACGTCTCCCAATGCACTGCAGCAGCGAGGAGTCAGCACAGAAGAATTTGCAGTGTGTGCTCAGCGCTTGCCCACGCAGCGCCCCAAAGCAGGCAGCTCTGCAGGCAGGTGGCTCAGCTCCTCCTGGCCACAGCTCACAGCACCCAGCCCCCCTGGATGGGGATTGGTGGCAGAGCTGCCGTGCCCCAAACCCATTCCTCTGGGACTCATGGGGTGGTTGAAATCACGGCCAGGATTGGGGACCCCATCCCAGGCATCATTGTCCATCCCAGGACGCCGGTCCCCATCACAGCCTTGTCACTGCTCATGGAAAGATGCTCCCATCCTCACGGTGTGTTGTATCCCAAAAGGGAGCTGAGAGGAACGGAGGAGACTGAAAGCAGTTGAAGATGAGTCAGGGCTGCAGGAGGATGTCGGCGCTTCCTGCACGGCTGGAGGAAGCTGCTGAGTTTGAAGAGGAGGAGGAGGAAAAGGATGGGGCTGATACCTGCATCTCACCGGCAGATCCAGCTCTGGGGCTGGGGCACATTCTGTAGGTTGCTGCTGCAGGGGTGGGAACAGAGACCCTCCTTTATTTTAAGGAGCCTGCACCTAGGGCATGTGTGGGTTTGTGTGCAAACCTCTCCTGCAGCAGGGCTGCAGCACGGGGAGAAACCAAGCAAGGCCAAGCCCCAGCACGACCAAGGCAACCCCATCCCCGAGACCCCTCCCCAAGATCCCCTCCTTGGAACCCCATCTCCAGCATCCCACCCCCAGGACCCCATCCCTGGGATCCCATTTCTTTTAGGTCTCAGCCCTGTGTTGTGCCAGGACCCAACTGGGAGCTTCCTATCAAGGGCTGGGAGGAGCTGGTATCACTTCACAGCCTGGAACTGGGTAGGGGCAGAGGCAGAGGCAGATTTGTCTTCTTGATGGGGTGGGTGCGGAGGGGCTGGGGTCTGTCTCACTACTGTCCATCCCCAAGCACAGAGGGGTGGGATTTGAGCTCAGCTTTGAGGCTGGAGGCCACCAGCTGTGACTTCCTGGACCAGGAGATCCCCTTCCAGATGGATAACCCCATTGTGGCGGTGACAAGGATCCATTAGGCAGGATTAGGAGCGGGGCCACGGGGATTAGCGCTGTGCCTTCCCCCAGCACCTCCCTCTGTTGTGGGATGAGCCGGGGGATGCGGCCCTGGGGAGCTGTGGGGCTGAGAAGTGGGGGAGCTGGTGGCGATGGCTGGATGGGACGGGCACCTCCATCTGCTCCCTGCTTTGTCCCTGGGCCAGCAGCCGTGGGGACACGTCAGCAATGGGGCACGAGCACAGGGAGGGGGGTTCCCTGCCTCTGGCTGCAAAGAGGCCTTTAGGAAAGCAGGAATGCAGAGCAGGGGGGCCGCAATGAAACCCAAAACCGCCTCGCCGGGGCCCTGGGTCTCCACATCCGGCCCCGTGCTGGCTGCAGCTGGAGGCCCCCGGGACGGCCCCATCTCTGCTGCTGCAGCCCCACTGCTGTTGCACTGCCCGACATCCCCAGGTTGTATCCTGTCCCCGTGGGTGCTGGGGGTGCGTTGTGCATCCTGGCTTGCAACTTGTCAGTGCAACGTGCATGTTGGTGAGTGCAACCCTTGGTGCAGCCTGCACCTGAGTGTGCAGGGCCGTGGGTGTCGTGCACCCTGGAGGGTGCAAGTCCCTGGTGCAGCACGCTGCTACTTCTTCACATCAATGCACTTCGGAGCATGCAATTCCTTATGCAACGTGCATCTGGGTGCGTGCAATCCCTGCTGCAGCGCGCACCTCGCAGCACGCAATTCTTTGCACGGCGCATACCTTCGAGTGTGCAAGGCCTTGGGAAGGGTGCATGTTGGGGTGCAGCGCCCTGTACAGCTGCACCTGGACACGTGAGATCTGCGTGCGCTGCGCCCTTCGCTGCGCGCTTGCTCCTGATGCACAGTGTGCATCCCAACAGTGCCACCCAGCAGCACGGCCGCGCTCTGCAGCGCATCGGGCTGAGGTTCAGTTTCTGGAAACGCTGACAACATGGAGCCGAACAAAGCAGCCTGGGGAGGCAGCAGGGGGGGTTTCGCTGCTCGCTCGGCTGCCTGCAGGGCTGGGTGGGCTCCTCTCGAGGAGCAGATCCCTCGTGGTTGTACCCAGCACAGGGAACTGTGTCACTCCATAGGGGCACCAGCCGTGCTGGCAGCGTTGTCCCGAGGACCCCTACAGGACCCGGCACCGCATGGATGCGGTGAGCACATGGGATGCTGCTCGGGATGCTGTGCCCCCCCACGGCCCCACACGTGCCTTCAAAGCTGCTTCCCTTGAAAAAATCCCAAAGCCTTTTACCGCTCTGGTGAATCACGGATGGGGGCCGGGCAGGCTGTGTACAAAAGCCCCATCACACCCGGTGCCAGCTGAGTGCGTCGGGCACCCATTTATCTGAGCTGCTGTGAGCACAGCTGGCTGTTCCCCTGACCCTGCGTGAAGTGGGTTGAAAAACGGGGATTTAGGGCAGGGCCAGGTGCTGGTCCCCGTGGTGGCAATCCCTTATTTCCAATGGGATCTGAGACCACCCCGTGGACGATGCCCTTCACCCCCAGCCCCAGGTGCGCTGAG